ATGGTCAGGCTGCTTCCACTGCAATATTTCATCCAGAACCTGAACTGTGTGGGTCATGTCTGACCTGCTGTAGGAGCAGCCAACCCACCCGGCTGCTTCCTGCCTTGGCCAGGCCAGCCACACAAGCAACCAGCACACAGGGTGCTCCAACCAGTTTCCTTCTGACCTCAAAATGTCTGTCCTGCTTTCAGTGCACCACACACCCCCCTCGGGCCTGTTTTGGGAAAAGAATATGGTGCTTGTCCGTGTACCATCCCAATTAATGAGGGAAGTCTCTGGAAGAATGAGATGCTGGTTCTGCTGGACCTTTTGACTTGTTCCTATAAAGCAGTTCTTAGAGGAACTAAGTTAATATGTTTTGCTCAGATATTTGGTGTTAAGCCAGTTGATGGGACAAAGGCTCAGGGAGGACTTTTCAGTGAGATTTAGTAAATGACTTGGGAAGTTTCTTTTGCCTTTTTTGTGGCAGAAAGAGATGTGGTCCTTTCTTTAGGTGTTTCATCTCAGAAATTCCATAGAATTGGAGGGGCTCATACTCAATATAATGTCTTTCCTGCTGTGTTACTGATACGCTGTGTCCTGGGTTCACCATGACATACTGGTTTTGTAGCCTTCAGCTTTAAATGCATTCAGAGCATTTAACAGCTTGGGAGGGGGCTGTCTGGGGAATGCTCTGGAGTAAACACCTCTTGTGTGGCCATGATGACAGGGAATTGATCTTGGTGATCCAGGTTTCTCTTCCAATTTCTTTTTTTTTGTAATGGGCATTTCTTTTTAAAGAAAAGATGTCTTAAAGGGAATAATTATCTTTTATTTATATATTTTTTTATCCTCAGGGCAAAAAATACGGACATGTGAACTCTCTGACCATCACTGAAACCCATGGTCTTTCTTTTCAGTGTCAGCTAATTGGTTTTTTTAAGCTTGGATCTACCAGTGAAGGGCAGTATATTCACACACATGGAAAATGAAAGAGGAAGAAAGAAAATTGCCCCAGTGAGTTTCCCCATTTCATACCCCTACCAGTCTTGTAAGAGCTCTCTTGATGTCACAGGAATGAAGCTACCCAGGACATTTTCCACCCACCCAGGAGGCAGGAAGTCCAGTGTGTGAGGGTTACATTGCATTCTTAGATTACTTTATGATTTTGTTCTTGTTAAAGCAAGAAATTTGAACGCTTATGGAGGCAGAGAAACCAGCACAGAATAAACAGTCACAGACATGAAGAGGCTATGGCATTCACATCACTGCATGCCTCCAGACACTGTCTTTCACCCATGCCTATGAGGAGGTAGCTCACATCCATAATTATTCTAGCATTGGCTTCATCCCTGCAAATTCTGTTTGCTGATACACAGTAAGAGGCTGAAAAGGACAAGAGGGGCTCCTTCACCATGGACCAGGAGCCACTTCTGTAGCAGAATGACTGTGAGCAATTTGAACGGCTGCAAGCTCTTTCCTATCCAGGCTCTGCTGGAGAGCCGCTTTGCCTCCTCCTGCAACCTTAGAGTAAACTTGTGCAATTGCTTCAGCTCACCTAGCAGAGCACTGCTGCAATACAGCCTTTCCTAGTTCTTCTCATGTTTGCCACTGGCTCCCAACCATGTGCACTAAGCTGGTGCTGTGGAGCTCATCAGCCTCTGATGAAACTACGGGAGCTGGCTAATGTGCAAGGAGGTGCAATGTTTCCAGCAGCCAGGACTTGTAAGTACACCTGGAGAAGCAAAGTCTCATGTTTTGGCCCTGGGTCCCAGAAGTCCTTTGACTCTGAGCAATTGCCTGGGCCATGGAGGAGCCCCATTGTGGTAGCACAGCACTGACGTGGGTACATGTGCCTTGGGAATGGGCACAGCTGGCCAGAGGTGTCTGATTCACCCAAAAACATGAACTGGGTATAGGGAGAAATGACAAAAGGGAAGTAGACCAAAGAATTGACTGTACATTAGGAATCTTTGTGGAGTTTGTTAATTTTGAGATGAATTGAGAGCATTAGTCTTGCAAGTGAGATCATCCTCAACATGAGTCTAACTGGAATTTATCTATCAGAAGATGGAATGAAACTATTCAAACTTTCTATGAAGCTACTTGTTAAAGATCAGTGGCTTTCAGTTGCAGTATATTAAGGTTGGCAGTGAATTTCTGATTCATAACTAAAAAGACATCATTGTCATCTTCTATGCTGGAAATTCTTAATACAATTTCTTTCTCATTTTCAAGTAATTTGCCTGAATAGAGAAGACAACTGACCTTGTCATTAGAGCACATGGTAGAAGCAAATGGTGTGTTTGTATTGCTATAGTTGGGTAACTTGATCAGTATGTTAATTTCTCAGTATTAAATGCCATGGTAATCCACACTGAGACCTTGTGAGTTCCATAAGAACAGTAAAGACTATTGGTGTGAAATTATTGCAGGGAAGGTACAAATGCTTAAATAATATATTAAGTTAATGAAAGCAGTTGCGAACTACTAAGTTGAAATGGAAAACTGCATCAAGTAACGTTTTCTGCTGTTCTTGGTGGATTGAACTTTGACAGTCCAGTTGCTGATCCTTCTTAAGCATGTTATCCCAGAGGTGCTACCACTGTCACTGATGGGTTTCAGCCTGGGCCACTGATGGGTCCATCTTGGAGCCAGGTAGCATTGGCTCCATTTAACATGGAGGAAGCTTCTAGCAGTTTCTCACAGAAGCCACCCTTGTAGCCTCCTTCCACTTCCACCCAGCTACCAAAATCTTACCAGACAACATCGTGTCACTTAGTAGTAGGTGAAAAGGCAGTGTGATGCAGAGACCAGTGTGTAACCCAGTATAGACTGCTGCATGCATATGCTTTGCAGGGTTGTCCAAAGCAAATTCCCTTGTTCAGGACAGGTTCCTAATGTTTGCTATGCCAGCTCTGTTTGCATTAGTTCTCTTGTTCTGAAACTTGAAGCTTTTGGCTTGAATAATTCTTCGTTTCCCATAATTAGATCTTTTTGTGAAAGCTCTTGGCAAGATTTGGTTTTGATATCATCTTCTGCCATTGCATGCTTGCATTGGTCACATGAACTTTGTTGGCACACCACAAGTGAGACTTGTAGTCACATTGGAAAATACATTAGTTGCCCAATTTGAATGTCACAGATACATTTGAAGTTTCTAATGCCAGCAATGGTCTCGGAGTGCTAATGCAGTCTGGGTTTAGTGAAAATGTTCACAAAGTTCAAATAAACTGCAGTTTTGGAGGGGCTGTTCTGAAAATCACTGAGCTTTGAGAATTCTGGATCTGGTTTAAGCACTGCAGATGGTTCCTTAATTAAATGAGCATGAACTAAAGCCTAGAATTAAACACAAGAAAGGTTAAAGTTGGGTATAAAATGTAAACTGGAATGTATAAATGGTAGACAAAATATTATTCAAGTCAAGCATTTTATAAAACTTTATTACCTTCAAAGCAGAAGAGGTTCTGCTGAAATGCACTTGAGGGGGATGAGCATGAAGGGAATGAAAAGGGATAAGAGACTCTATGGTTTGCAAATTCAGCAGAAGTCTGGAGAAAGAAACTCAGCTTGTCTGTGATTAGATTAATGTGGAGGAGAGTGTGTAATAGGAACTAGCAGGTAAGGAAGGCAGCTGGGGCACTGGATATGTAAGGATGGGGACAGGATGGAGGCGGTGGGACAGAGGGCTGAGAAGGAATGATGCCAACCATGGTCTGCAGTTGCTACAGCAGGTTCTTGGCAGAGATAAACAAGGGACTTGGGGCTTCTGGTGGTCAGTGTGACATCACTGCCAGCAAACAGGGACAGAAACTACTCAAATTACATGTCAAATCTCATCCTACTTGCAGAGCTGATGGTGGTCCCTGGCTCCCACCATGTCTGTCTTTACCTTATTTGTGGGTGTTCAAAGGCTCTTGATGACCTAAACAGTGTCAGTGTGACACCACACGATGGAACTTCTGTATTTCCAGTTTGGTTTTGTTTATTCCTAAGTCTGTAAGAAAAGTACAGACAGAATAACCACGAAAAATTACTGAAATTGCAAGTCAATTACTAAGATATGTACAAAAGCCCAAAAGAATAACTTCCACTTGAAGGGCAGTGGTGTGGGTATGGGAGGGGATGAGATTCAAACATCTCTACAGACCATGTAAGTGCTGCAGAAGAAACTTGTATCAGAGCATCTGTGCTCTTCTGTCAAATCAGAAATCCTACTGAAAAAATAATCTTCATCTTTTATTCTGGTTTATTTTGGAACAGCAAAAAGTTTGCAGGTGCTTGTTAGTGTTTTTGAGATGTGTCCCTCTTGCTTTTCTTCTTATTTGGCAGCACCTGGAGTATGACATTAAAATCCTTCTTGTCTGTACTTAATCTCCACCAAGCAGTCAGAAATTCCTTCAGTCCTACTGCCATTTCGCAAGTCACATCTGTAAATATCAGGAGTGAAATCCTGACCCAGTACAGTGAACACGGGATTTTGTACATTCTAAGTTAAATATTCTTTTATTTAAATGGAGCAGAGATACGGCTGCAATTCTTGAGCACCTTGAAATCATCAGCCAAACCTTGACTCCAAAATAGTCAGTGTAACATCACCAGTCATAGTTACGGAGCTGTGTGTTGACATGAAAACTACATGACCCAAGGATTGATTGGTTGATGTCCAATATAACGTGCTAGGGTTTTATGTTAAAAAAAAAAAAAAGCATTCAAAATCAATGCTTGCAAAGTTCTCCTCAGCAAATGAAGGAAATCGGCTTTTTATCATTATTTTTAATAAATAACACTGATTTTTCACAGTGTGAGAGGTTGTTCTATGTAGAATATGGTAGAGGAACTGATTGGCTGATCAGCAGGATAGGGTACATACAAAATTTTGGTACAGTTAAAGAGAATTAGAGCCTGTTCTGTACTTTAAGGATGTTATTTCTTTAAAGCTATTTACACTGTTTGGACATGCTTGGGCTTCAGTGTTGGTTTTAAATAATACACAGAAAACTAAGGTTTTTTTCTTACACAGTGTTTTTCCACTGAATTTTGAGCTGGGCAATCACACCCTCTAAAAAGACAGAGATCTAATGTCACCCAATGCTATCCACTTGCAGAAGATAATGACAACATGGCAGCACCTTTGAGTTTGCATCAGAGCTTACATGCTGTTTCTCTGACACGCAAACCAAGTTTACAGACCTGGGCTTACAGACAGGTAAAACCCTCCTCCATCAAGTTGCAGGCAGGCACACTGCACCTCCCTGATGACTTTTGAAGATACTAGTCTCTGAAATCATGGGTTTTCTGGCCTTTGTATTTCACTGGATCAAATTATGCTCCTGTCCACAGCAAATGTGTTTTCTTCCCTTACTCACTGGATCTACAGGTCTTAATGTCGTTCTTTCTCACCGTCCTCCAGCTGGCAGCTATAGAGAGATATTCCACCAGCCCCACTGTGAAAGCAATATCCATGGCTCAGTTTTCATGCCCCTGGGGTATGATCATCTACAGACCTGTTACTTCTGGCTCTGGAGATGATTTAAAAGTAGAAATGCTGTTGACTCGAGTAAGCAAACCCAGCAAATGTATCATGCTTTATTTTTCCATACAAGATTTCTATGTGTCTTTGAGAGAGACGTGGCAGGTTTAGCAGAGGAGGAACAGCACAGGGTGAGAATTTCCAAGTTGCTTTGAGATCTTCATTTAGTTTGGGAGTTTGCTTCACATGAACTTCATCAGAGACGTTGGAGGGGAGAATTTGTGTGTGCACACGTGTGTCTGTGCAAACACACCACTTTGCTTAAAGTGTAACGGCCGCTGCTCTTCATGTTCACATGGCTGCTACAACAATGCACTTCCCTGTGACAGTGAAGAGCCAGTTCCAGGCTTCTGGGGTTTGAGGTCAAGTTAGGTCTTACAGACAGTTCTGGGGGAAGTACTACAGTGAACACAGACTGACGTCTTCTGTGAAAGGCTTACTATTTTATTACATAATAAACAGAGCTCCACTTCTGACTCATCGCTTTGTTTTTTTTCCCCCATATGTAAATGAAACCACAGAGTTGTTTTGACTGGAGCTGGTTGTACATCCCTAGATAACCACTCAGCAACTGGAAGCTTCGCTGAAGTCAAGGAGGCTATGCAAATCAGTGCCTGCGTACTCCACGACTGGCTGCTCTCAGAAGGAAACAGCAAAGTTTTTAACATAACAGAACTGCCATAGTATTTTGAAACTGAAAATTAGAACTGGGGGAGGGGAGAAATTGTGACTGCATCAGGAAAAGGTATTATTTTGAAATCACGTTCTGTATGTTGTGATGGCTTTAAATGACACACAGGTAGTCCTGAATTGCCAGGTTTAGGCTGAAGCTGTTTTGTCTTGTGGTGAGTGAGAAGGTGGACACAATCAGCACCAAGCTGCACTATCTATTCTGCTAGGGGAATGTGCAGTGGATATGCACAGTTGTGTCAGTGGACACAGATGCAAGGTACTGAATGGTATTTCAAAACAGCAACTATTTTCTCATGCTGTGAAGGAGGAGACTGTGGCCTGATGTATTAAAGCGTATGAAGGATACCAAGAGAATAGTGGGGTTGTCCTGCACCCTGTAATGGAAGCACATGGAACGCCCATGTCCAGCCAGCATTGCTATCTGCTTCTGCATTGAGGCCCTCCGGAGACCCGTTCTCTCTGTTGGGCTTTCGGAGTTTGTTTTGGTTGCTTTGTTTGTTTTCTTCGACACACTTCAGTTTTGTCGGGCTTGGTACAAGTCTGTGTAAGGAAAATATTACCTTTACTTTCTGAGGCAAAAAAGTTACCCTCAATGAAACTGGCCAACTCCTTGTGAGAGCAGAGTTTCCAAACGGATGAAATGAATCTGAACGGGCATTTCACTCTGTCATTGCATGGCTGTTGTCATACCTTTCCCATAGCTTTTCTTCACTAACGAGCTTGGCATACTCTGAACTGTGCAAATGGCCAGTAAATGAGGAAAAAAAGAAAAGCGTGGGAAAAAGGAAAGTCTAAGGACTTCTCTTGGGCATTCATTAATTTCCCAAATTTATCTTAGACAGATAAAACACTGCTGAGACTTGAGGTGGTTCCTTTCCAGTGAAATTGTGAAGTAAAACTCTGAATTTTCTTTTCTACCAGGATTCCCCTTCCAACTGAAGAAAATCAGTTCTTTTAGGAGCAGTGGCTTTAAATTTTCCTTCCCAAATGCAGGTAGGCTAAAGTTGCTTGTGAGGAATATTAAACTTAGCTGCATTCTGCTGGATTCCAACACTATAAATCCTTGTTTCAAAATACAAAATGAGAAATGGAGGTAAAGAGTTTCTAGGTTAAACCTTTAGTGAAGTGTTTGGACAATGAATAGTGATAACGGACATAATCTGTATACAGCTACACACAATGTTATCTACTCATGCCTTCTCCACATCATATAGTTTTATATGTGCTGTTTATGGAAACGTACCTAGGTCTTTTCTACCACATTTCTGCATTGCTTACAAGGAATTCAGATTCAAGTTGTAGCAAAAAACACCACACGTTGTTGCAGAGTTGACTTCTGTGGATGTGATGACTCCAGGAACATGGCTCTGTTCATACCACATCCTGTGTCTTTGGTGGTTCTGCCAGCTGGCTCATGGAGCAGTTTCAGGCACAGGATGCTGACCACAGCCTTCAGTGTGACCATCCCTTTCAGCCGACACAAAGTTCCCTGCAGGTCTGGATGGAACTGTCCTTCCCTTAGGATGCTCACAGTAGTTCTGTATATTCGTTAAATGCACTTGGTTGAGATAAAAACAGTGGAAGGTAGCGGTTCACATACAAAGGATACTGTTTGCTCTACTGCAGAATTTTTATTTCATCCAATCTCTTTACAACACTGAGCTACCATTACTGGACTGCATCCTGTGATAAAAGTGGTTTTCTGATGAACTCTCTAAATATGGTTGACATCTTGTTTGCTTTGGTCAAGCAACAGTTCCTTTGACAAGGTGATTTATTGTTATGATCATCAGACTAACGCTCTCTGAAATAATTCTTACTCTCAGATGTTAATTATAGGTGGAGAGAATTGAAACAGAACATTTAAAATGAATATTATTATCACATATACAAGCAAGCATTGCATAGGAATATTAATGTTCTGAGGTAATCAGGCATGTGCTTATGGAAGACGTTCTACTATGCAGGGCTTTCTCCTGCTGTTTCTCCCTTACCTGTGAAATTCCATTGCTAATTGGAAGATAGTACAGCTTTGGCTCACAACATTAGAGGAATTTGCATTGTGGAAAGTCACAAAGGCAGGCAAACACCTTGCTCACTCAACACGAATCAGAGAAATAACCAGTGAATATTAAGTGTACTGTTTTCATATGATGTTCCTTGCAGTAGCTATTACCACGGAAAGGAAGTAATGCCATTTGTGGCTGGAACCCACATTTGATTGACTTTCTAGTGCTGGGGAAAGGTTTGGTGGAGTTACAAAGAAACTCCATTGTGCGTTCATTACATCGGTATCTATTGTGTAACTTCATTTAGCTTTGTACAGAAAAATTGAATTTTTGGTTTGAGTAATCTGAGGAACATCCTAGGGGATTTTGCCTATACAAAGAGGCAACGGAAAAGCCAATTGAAGATGTAAAGTCAAAAATGGAGTGATACACTTTCGGCTCAAATAGCTTATGAAGTCAAGTAGAACTTGGGTGCCAATGAATCTTTATGCTCTGCAGCTCCGCACTGCAGGGTTGGAGACTGAGTTTAATATCTATCCTGTTCATTCATTCTCCAGCTAGATAGAGTGATGACTGCCACCCCCCAAAAAACTGTTAAGCTTCAGGGAAGAGCAGAGTTAGGAACAGACAGGAGAGTCACCAATCACTGTGTGGTAGCTGCAGGGTTTATTTATTTACTTAACAGGATACCATCCTCTTCCCTGTGTCATCTAGAAGGTCCTGGTTTCATTACCTTCATACTTTCTGCCTATAATGAGAGCAGAACCCAGTAGAGACTCTCCTTTTCTGAAACAGGATCAAATTAGCTCTCATACATGCAAAAAGCAGTCAATTTTAACTCGAATTTAGAATTGTCAGTCTGTGTGCAATTCTGAAAAGCCCTGGGTGTAAGATCTGCAAAAAAAAAAAAGAAGCACTGGGTTGCATTTTTGACAAAACCAATCCTAGCACAAATCCACAAACATCTTAAATGGGAAACATTTTCTTGTCTTTTTTTCCCTCTGTCTCCTCAGACAGATTTAAGACACATCTCATTGCTGCTCAAGTCCAGGAATTTACTGACATTTGTCAATGATTTCATCTGTGTGACAGACCTGTTTTTTACAGAGCTGTTGTGCATTTACTCAGGATGATGTCAGAGCCACAGAAGGAGCAAAAGAGCACAATTCCCAATATGAGCAACTCCAGGCACATCCTCATACTCCACGGCATGATGGTAAGCAGAAACAAATGTGTCCGCTCCATGCAAGCAGTTTCATCATTTTTGGGGAAAGCACTGAGTGGAAGTTCCCTCATGCAAGGATTTCTCCTTACTTTGATACCTAAATTTCTTGTTGAATGACAGTTATTGACCAACCAGTAACCTCCCCAGAATAAGGAACAGTGGGTGAGTTCACACCCAAAATCTCAAAAGGTATCCTATAATGACATGAAAAGCTGTGTCTGCTTTTGCTTTGCTCAAACAGAAATGGAAGCTGTCACCTCCTTTCCTGTTTTCCTCTCTCTGCTCCTTGCCTTTCTGTAGTTCAGGCAGTAGAGACCTGGCTCCTTTGATGAAGTAGCTTTACCCTTGCGCCTGTACCCAGGGGCCATACCAGCAGGCTCAGTGTTCAGTTCTTAGCTGTTTGATGTTGTGTCCCTTGAAAGCAGCTTTTTAAGAAATTGCAGAGCAACAACAACAACACTGGAGGATGTGACAATGTCTGTTAATCCCACTGCTGTTAAATCTTGAGGCAAGGCATTGCAATGTCGCTTGCTCCCAGTGCAAAACTGCTGTTCAGTTGGCATCAACACAAACAAGGTATTCCTGGTGATTAGCAGCTATGGCAAACTCAGGGCATGGGCCAGCCAGAGACTCAGCTTCAGGTTGGCATTATTATTCCATTCTTACAGCTGGCACATCAGCTCCCACACCTGCCCCTGTGTCATGAACGAGAAGCCTTCTGCAAAGTTTTCATTCAGAAATGTGTAGTGGTGAGAAATGGAGTTGTTGTGGTTAAGTATGAAACAATCTAATTCCCATTAATCTTGTAACAGTCTGTATGTCAACGCAGCTGAGAATGAGACAGATAAAATACAGTTAAAACCTAAGGACTCTTTTGTCTCTTTCCTCTGCCTGTTTAATGGCATTTTTGGCTGCAGAGGGATCATTTTAGTGGTAAAAGAAATGTTTAAAAGACTTCCCCTTTTCAAATATAAACAAGATAAATTCAGATAGCTGATCTGTATCATAAACCTTCTAACAAGAAAGCTGATTACTAAGCAAGCTGATACTGTTAAGAAGGGAAAACACAATATATCTGGATCTCCTGTTTTATGGCTATGATAAATAACTGTAAAAAAGGATGAATTTTTAGGGACCATATTTTTAAGAAGTAGAAGAATGCAATACAAAGTCAAGGCTAAAAGCAGTACCGCAGGAAGTGTGGTTTTGCTGAAAGATGACAGTGTAAAAATAACTTTTGTGGCTTCCAATTTTTTAATTTACAAAGAAATCAATTGAAAAATATTGAAATATTCATATGCTTCCTGTTAGAGTTCAGATCTACTCTGAACATCTTTTTAATGGGCCGTTAATGAATGCGAATTCTACTGCACGCATCCAAGTTAAGCTTGTGTATTGCTGCTCTACCTAGTGGTTTGCTGCATGATTAACTATGTGAAACTGCACAGCAAGAGTAGTTTTGTGTCCTTGAAATTCCATGATCTATGACTCAAGTGGATATTGAAAACCTGGGTTTTATATTTCTTTAAATTTTCCAGTGGAATTTCAAATAT